CCCAACATCAGGGTCATTTCCTGTGTCCCCTTCATGGATCACTGCCTTGCCGTGGCGAAGGGGCTTGAATAACTCAGAGAAGCTATGAGCTATGCCGTGCAGGGCCACCGAAGATGGACAGGTCATAGTGGAGATTTTAGACCAAACGAGATCCACCTGGAGGGGGAACCGGCAAGCCACTCCAGTGTCCCTGCCAAGAAAACTCCATGGACACAGGAAATGGTATATTTACATTAAATGCCCGCCCCACAACACTTGGATCAGCGACCACCACTTTGGCTAGCCAACAATTTCGACCCTCCTTTGTACAGTGGTACCTTGGGATAAGTACATAATTCGTTCCGGAGGTGCGTACTTAACCTGAAACTGTTCTTAACTTGAAGCACCACTTTAGCTAATGGGGCCTCCTGCTGCCGCAGGAGCACAATTTCTGTTCTCATCCTGAAGCAAAGTTCTTATCCTGAAGCACTATATCTGGGTTAGTGGAGTCTGTAACCTGAAGCGTCTGTAACCCGAGGTACCACTGTACAGCGCATCAGATTTATTTCCATTCTCTCAATAGGGGCGGCAGCCTTAGAACCAGCACCTTGAGGACTAGCACCTTTCCTGGAGCTAAGCTTTTAGGCGGTCGAGGGCCTGCTTCCTCGGATGCGCGACCTTTTCAGTGCATCCATGGCCAGGGCAGATCCGCTCAGGCCATAGGCGACCCCAGCTCCGGACCCTCCCCCGGCTGCCGTGGGAAGGAAGCTCCTTGAACTCCACGCCCCGCCCAAGAACGTTCCCAAGGGTGGCTCCGCCCACCGCAGGCTCCTCCCCCTCGAACCCCGCCAATAGGGCGCACGTCCCGGTCAAACCCCCTTATAACTCCTCCGAAGGCCTCGGAGCATGAGGGGGGGAGGGAAAGGGAAAGGCCCGGGAAGGGGGAGGCCGAGGCCGGGCGAACCCGGCGAAGGGAGAACCTTCCTAGGCCGCCCCGGCCGGGACTCCGCAACCCTACCTGCTGCTCAGGGGAAGACCGCGAGAGAAGGGCCCCCAGTCGCGCATGCGCCAGCGGAAGGCGGAATGACGCCACATCCGCCCGGCGCCCGGAAAAGAGTTGTAGTTGAACGAGCGTGGCGGCTAGAGCGCCCAATAACGGTTTTTTCCCTCCCCTCGCGCCATCTGCTGGTCCGGGGTGGTACTGCATTCGCTTCCTCGCTGCTTTCTCCCTTTACTCGGGGGCGATGCTGTCGGGAGTGGTTTGTGTGTATATGGAGCTCTTGGCCGGAGTTCCGGACGCTGCTTGATTTTAAGCACGGTTACTTAAGCCCGACCGACGGCCACCTTGGGCGGTGCTTGCATGGAGAGACTGGGGGACAGATCGTAGCTGTCAACGTTTCCCCCCTTTTAAGGGAAATTCATAGGATTCCTCGCAAGAAAAGGGAAAAGTTGACAGCTATGGGACAGATGTACCCTATTTGTTACTGCGGTGCAATGCTACCTGCAAACTTGGGCGGCTTTTAATCATAGCTGTCAACGTTTCCCCCCTTTTAAGGGAAATTCCCTTATTCCAAATAGGATTCCTCGCAAGAAAAGGGAAAAGTTGTCAGCTATGCTTTTAATACAGGCGCGGTGGCATCATCGCGGACGTCCCCCAGTCGTGCTTTAATTTGAGACGTGGCTCAAGAGTTAAATCCTGTTTTGTGCGTCAGAATTCGTACCTGAGACATCTACCTTTACAGTCACACCTCGGGTTGAATGGTGCTTCAGGTTGAGCACTTTCGCGTTGCGGGTTTCACCGCTCGCGCATGCGCATGACGCTCAAAATGACGTCACGTGCATGCGCGGAAGTAGCAAACGCGACCGCGCATGCGCAGACGCACCATCGCGTCTTACGTTCCATTCAGGATGCGAACGGCTCTGGAACGGATCCCGTTCGCAACCCGAGGTACCACTGTATTTCTATTCTGCGTTTCCTTCAAGGCAGCATGCACGGTTCTCCACCTCACCCCCTTTATCCTCCCAACAGCCTTGTAAGGGAGGCCAGACTGAGCGAGACCAGCCCAGTGCCAGCCACGCCACGAACCTCGTAGCCGACCGGAGATTTGAACAGGGGTCTCCCCAGTCCCAGCCTGACAGCTTCTAGTGATGCCGGAGCTCGCCATGAACGCCTCCCTTCTTCAATTACAGTGGTACTTCGGGTTACATACGCTTCAGGTTACATACGCTTCAGGTTACAGACTCCGCTAACCCAGAAATAGTGCTTCGGGTTAAGACCTTTGCTTCAGGATGAGAACAGAAATCGTGCTCCGGCGGTGCGGCCGCAGCAGGAGGCCCCATTAGCTAAAGTGGTGCTTCAGGTTAAGAACAGTGTCAGGTTAAGTACAGGCCTCCGGAACGAATTAAGTACTTAACCTGAGGTACCACTGTATAATGGCACGGGCGCCCACCTGAGAGGTGCCAGAACTGGGGGGGGGGAGAGCCCTAGACACCCCTATTTTCATCGGAGGAATGTTGGAGAGTATGCCCTCTCCGCTGTTCAGAGGGAGCAAGACGGCCAATGAAGGCTTTCTGATCTAGTGAAAGTGTGATGCCAATACTCCCTGTCCCCTGATGTTGCTTGCAAAACAGGACCATCGGTGGGTCTCTCCAGTTGCCTGTCTTCTGCACCCCTCTGCCATCCTGGGGGGGGGGGCTCTGCCCTCCGCCTGCTGCCAGTCCTGACAAAACCCTGCCTGTAATCGGCTTGGGGAAGAAGGGGCGCTTGTAAATCAAGCAGGCAGCTTTAGTGTCTCTCTGGAAGGAGCCAACTCCTCCGCAAGGCAGGCAGGCCCAGGTGGGCGATAAAACGGCGCGGTCGGCCCGGGGAGCAATTTGCTGGGCCCCGAGCCGAGGTGCACCATCCGCCGCACCAGCAAGCCCCTGCAAGGCCATAATTCAGCGCCTGGACCTGCACGCTTTAATTATCACTGCAGCGGAATTTCAATGGGGGCCGATCCATCTTGCGGCTTGCTGGAGAGCGATTTATACACCCGCGTGCTATTTCATCTGCGGAGCCCCAATCTGCATTTTTATGGGCCGGCTTGGAGCTTCTTCCCTCGCCAGCCTTGGCGGCGGAGGGGAGCGTGTTTGTGTGCATGTATAAAGCAGTGTCTGGGTTTTTTTGGCCGTGCAGTAAAGTTCAGGAGATATGCGCCTGTACTCTGTACCGAAGAGGAAATGCCTCGCCTTCCATCCCACATTAGGGCTGGTGCCATGGCGGCAGGAGGAGTGCGTTTTTATGTATAAGAGTGACATACCCTCTAGCATTTCCCCGGTGAAAATAGGGACGTCCTATTCCAGAATAATAATAATAATTTTATTATGTATGCCCACACAGCAGGCGGTGGTGCTGTGGGTTAAACCACAGAGCCTAGGACGTGCCAATCAGAAGGTCGGTGGTTTGAATCCCCGTGGCGGGGTGAGCTCCCGTTGCTTGGTCCCTGCTCCTGCCAACCTAGCAGTTTGAAAGCCTGTCAAAGTGCAAGTAGATAAATAGGTACCAATCCGGCAGGAAGGTAAACGGTGTTTCTGTGCGCTGCTCTGGTTCGCCAGAAGCGGCTTAGTCATGCTGGCCACATGACCCGGAAACTACGCCGGCTCCCTCGGCCAATAAAGCGAGATGAGCGCCACAACCCCAGAGTCAGTCACGGCTGGACCTAATGGTCAGGGGTCCCTTTACCTTATGTATGCCCCACTCATCTGACTGGGTTGCCCCAGCCACTCTGGGGGGGGTTTCCAACATATATAAAAACATAACAAAGCATTAAACTTGGAAAAACTTCCCCATACAGGACTGCCTTCAGACGTCTTCTAAAGGTTGTATAGTTCCTTATCTCCTTGGCTCGGGAACACTTAACTCTATACCCTCCAACATTTCTCTGATGAAAACAGGGATGTCCAAAGGAAAAGTGGGACATTTCAGGCTCAGATCAGAATCTGGGACAGCTTCTGTAAATCCGGGACTATCCCTGGAAAATAGGGACATTTGGAGGGTATCGAGTGATGCTTCACACACAGAGGAAATGCTTCACACACAGAGAGCCATGGCAATCCATAATATTTTTTGCATGGGACAGGGGAAATCCATGGATCTATAAAAGCCAGTTGCTGAGGTTCCCTTGCACTAGAGCATGACCAAGAAATGGAATCCAGGATGGAGATGTGGAAATGGGATGCTGTGGAATTCGATTTATGTGAATTCTGGTGCAGACTTACCTGACCTGCACTTCTCAGACCGGGAATGGGGAAGCTTTCGCAACCCAAGGGCCACATTCCCTTCTGATTAACTTTCCGGGGGCAATATTCCAATACAGTGGTACCTCGGGTTACATACGCTTCAGGTTACAGATGCTTCAGGTTACCCACTCCGCTAACCCAGAAATAGTACCTCGGGTTAAGAACTTTGCTTCAGGATGAGAACAGAAATCGTGCTCCGGCGGCGCGGTGGCAGTGGGAGGCCCCATTAGCTAAAGTGGTACTTCAGGTTAAGAACGGACCTCCGGAACGAATTAAGTACTTAACCCGAGGTACCACTGTAGAGGCAAAATGGGCAGAGCCACAAACACACATTTTGCCTTTCTACCATAGGTAACAAATGCCCCCCTCTCTTTATCCTCCATCCAAACAAGCAGGTGGTGTCAGAGTTCAAGGCCACAGACCAGACATGCAAAAATGCACAGGTGCAAAGCAGGGCAATTGGAGGGGCGTGGTCTGTGGTGAGGGGGTGTGGTTTGCGGAGCTCTCCAAGGCCCAGAGAGAGCCATGGAGGGCTGCATTTGACTCCAGGTCCTGAAGTTTCCCACCCCTGTCCTAGGCTGATAGGTGGATTAGAACATAGTTATCCTTCAAATTTCACACCCCTAAATTTTATAAAACAATTCAACCATGTATCAAAAATTGTTAAAATGCGCATTTTAGGATAAAATCATATTTAGGAATGTATATATTGGTATAGATTTTTTTTTATTAATTACTTGCCCTTCACCCTAAAGTCCCATGGCAGCTGACAGCATTAAAGCACAATATTAAAAGCTGTTTAACGTGACTTATGATCACAAAATTAATACGTGATAAAAATATGAATTTAAATACAAATTTTCTTGTGATTTTTTAAAAATAAAGTTGCCAATTAATGCAGAACATGTGCATGTGTGAAATAGACATGGACCAAAAATGGATTGATGCATCCATCTCTGGATATGAAGTTTTGAGTGCGGGACAAAGAAAACAGAGAGGAGTTGAGCTTAGCACAAAGTAAACCTGTCTCTTGCCCAAGACTTTGGAGACACTGCTGCAGTGTTGCTTGGCCCGAGAATCTGCCCACTTGCCTGATCATGGAATATTTTGAAGGTTTCAGCTGATTATTCATCCTGCAGAGCAAGCAAACTGCTTTCCTCTCATAAGCCATCTTGCTGGTCCATCCAGCACAGGGCGACTGGTCCCAGCAAAAACCTTTGAAGTGCTTTCAGATGCCATTCATCTACATTCATTCAGTCGTGGTTTTTTATATTGCCCTTCCTCCAAATGGAGCGCAGGGCATCTGACAACAGAAATTGAAGGAAAGAAAACAATACAATGATATAACCACCGTTAAAACCCACAAGGTACCAATAAAATTTTAACAGAGATCAGCAGCGACACCTTCTATAGCGCCACCTGCTAAAAGCCAATTTCCCCCTATGATCCGTAAACCTGGACAAGTAAAAATGGCTGTAGCCTTTGCTCCAGTGTTTCTACCACAAGGGCTGACCTGGCTGTTTATTAACAGAGCAAAACGGTCTTATTGTTGTTGATTTGCAGTAGCATATACGTGGGACGCGTGTGGCACTGTGGGTTAAACCACAGAGCCTAGGACCTGCCGATCAGAAGGTCAGCGGTTCGAATCCCTGCGACGGGGTGAGCTCCCGTTGCTCGGTCCCTGCTCCTGCCAACCTAGCAGTTCAAAAGCACGTCAAGTGCAAGTAGATAAATAGGTACCGCTCCAGCGGGAAGGTTCGCCATAAGCAGCTTAGTCATGCTGGCCACATGACCCGGAAGCTGTATGCCGGCTCCCTTGGCCAATAAAGCAAGATGAGCACCGCAACCCCAGAGTTGGCCACGACTGGACCTAATGGTCAGGGGGGTCCCTTTACCCTTTACCTTTATACGTGGTCTTTAAAAAAGAATGAGAGGCCAGGTCCCTGCCCCAAAGAGCTTCCCATCGAGAGCAGGGATGGGAATGCTTAGGAGTTGATGGTTGCTGAATTCCAACTCCTATCAGCCCCAGAAAACATGGCCAGTGGTCCAGGGATGATGGGAGTTGCAGTTCAGCAACACTGGTGGGTGGGTGTGCAAAGGCTCCCCACTTCTAGACTAGAGATAGACAGAAGGGATACACCAGAGGAAATGGAGGGGAATGGAGGTAGCCATCATTTTAGTTATACACTACAGCAGAATATGGGGAATAACGGGTGTGGGTGCCATAGGCTTCATAGAAAAATTGGGTTTTGAGGAGAGATCTGAAGTTGGAAAGAGAGACGGGTTCATATGGGTGTTCTGGGAGGCAGTTCTGAGCCGAAGAGGGAGCAAGCAGGTAAGGACAGAGTCGCTTGAGGGAGCAATAAGTGATAGCATATGGAGTTTTTATGCCTCAGCAGAAGCCTGAACTGTGCACCAAAATACCTCAAAGGAACTTGATTACCTTTGGAAGCAATCACACTGAGACTCTTAGTACAGAAAATGAGGGAGTTAAGTTTATTATAGGAAATACATGCCTGTTTGTAAAGAGTTCCTAGTTTTGCCTAGGTTGGAGTTGCGAGGTGCCATATTTGGAACTTGACCTCAGCAGAGACACACAATGTGTCTCCTCTTCTGTGTCACGAGAGAAGGAGCAGGAAATGAGGTCAGCAAGCTGAAGAGGCATCATAGAATCATTTAATTCCAACCCCCCGTAATGCCGGAATCTGAACTAAAGCATCCATGGCCATCCAACCTCTGCTTAAAAACCTCAAATGAAGGAGAGTCTAAACCATGGGTAGGCAAACTAAGGCCCAGGGGCTGGATCCTGTCTAATTGCCTTCTAAATCCAGCCATTGGGAATCAGTCTGGGAATCAGTGTGTTTTTACATGAGCAGAATGTGTCCTTTTATTTAAAATGTGTGGGGCATAGGAATTCATTCATCCCCCCCCCAAAAAAAATAGTCCGGCCCCCCACAAGGTCTGAGGGACAGTGGACTGGCCCCCTGCTGAAAAAGTTCCTTCAAATGTTCCTCATAAGGCTTGGTTTCCAGACCCTGGATCATCTTAGTCGCCCTCCTCTGCACATGATCCAGCTTGTTAATATACTTCCAAGAACTGGACAGAGTACTCCAGGTAAGGCCTGACCAAGGCAGAATAAGGTAAAGGTAAAGGTACCCCTGCCCGTACGGGCCAGTCGTGTCTGACTCTAGGGTTGTGCGCTCATCTCACTCTAGAGGCCGGGAGCCAGCGCTGTCTGCAGACACTTCCGGGTCACGTGGCCAGTGTGACGAAGCTGCAGCTGGCGAGCCAGCACCAGAGCAGCACACGGAAACGCCGTTTACCTTCCTGCTATAAAGCGGTACCTATTTATCTACTTGCACTTAAGAGTGCTTTCAAACTGCTAGGTGGGCAGGAGCTGGAACCGAACGACGGGAGCTCACCCCACCGCAGGGATTCGAACCGCCGACCATACGATCAGCAAGTCCTAGGCACTGAGGTTTTACCCACAGCGCCACCCACGTCCCTCTTCCCTTGATCTGGACACTACTGATGCAGCTTAGAATAGCATTAGTTTTTGCTTTGTTTTGTTTTGCTGGTGCATCACACCATTGACTCATGTTAAGCTTCTGGTCCACTAAGACCCCTAGATCCTTTTCACTTGTACTACTTGCAAGCCATGTTATATTTATGCAGCTGGTTATTCCTGCCTAAGTGTAGAACCTGTGTTCCTGTTGAAATTCATTTTGTTAGTTTTGGCGCAGTTCTCCAATCTGCTAAGGTCATCCTGAATCCCGATTCTGTCTTCTGTGGCATTGGCTACCCCTTGCAGTTTGGTGTCATCTGAAAATTTGATGAGCATTCCCTCAATTCAGGGGCGTCTTACCCATAGAGGCTAGTGGCGCGGGGCACCAGGGCGCCAAGTTCTGGAGGGCGCCAGGGAGGAGGCAGAGGCTGGATGCGGTGCCTCCCCGCATCAACTTCCTCGCCCGCCTCTGCCATGCAGCACCGCGCCTGGAGCCTCCGTCTGCCATGGCCACCATGGCACAAAGCGGCCAGCTGAGCCGGGAGGTGCCGCGTCCAGCCTCCACCTCTTCCCCACCAGAGGAGCCTGCCCTCCAGCCATTGCCCGCCTCCTCCAGCCCCGCCGGCATCCCTAAGAAACTCTGGGAAATAGGGGAAGGGGGGCATCGGAGGGAGCTTTGCACCATGGCATCGGATATGCTTAAGACGGCCCTGCCTCAATTCCTTCATCCAAGTTATTTATAAAAATATTGAGCAATGATGGGCCCAAGACAGAACCCCGTGGCACTCCACTCATCACCTAGGATGACAAGGAACCATTACTAACCACTCTTTGGGTTTGGGCAGTCCATTAACTACATATCCACCTAATAGTAACCTCATCCAGCCCACATTTTACCAGCTTCTCCACAAGAATATTATGGGGGACTTTGTCAAAATCAATGTACACCATGTCTATAGGTAAAAGGTAAAGGACCCCTTGACGGTTAAGTCCAGTCAAAGGCGACTATGGGGTTGTGGCGCTCATCTCGCTTTCAGGCCAAGGGGGCCGGCGTTTGTTCACAGATGGCTTTCTGGGTCATGTGGCCAGCATGACTAAAGCGCTACTGGCGCACGGAGGACCGTGAAGCATGGAAATGCTGTTTACCTTCCCGATGCAGTGGTCCCTATTTATCTACTTGCACTGGCATGCTTTCGAACTGCTAGGTTGGCAGGAGCTGGGACAGAGCAACAGGAGCTCACCCTGTTGCGGGGATTCGAACCACCGACCTTTTGATCAGCAAGCCCAAGAGGCTCGTCTATAGCATTCCCCTGATCCACCAAGCTTGTAACTCTGATAGAAAAAAGAAATGAGCTTCATCTGGCATGATTGTTTTTGAGAAACCCATGCTGGGTATTAGCAATCACAGGATCCTTTTCAGACCAACTTTAATGATCTGTTCTAGGACCAAAGGCAACATTTAATACAGAATCCCACTGAAATAAATGAGAAATCAGTGGGGTACACACCAGCGTAAACATGCATAAATTTATACGAAGGGCATATGATGGCACTCTTAAATGGTGGAAGGTTTCACGGCCTTTATTGTGCTTGCCCCATCACCACCATCCTAAGCGGCTAGGTCAACCACCGTTCTACAGATGGGGAATTTGATACCAAGAAATGGTTCAAACTGATGCAATGAGCCGGTAGCATCAGGGGAGATTTGAACGCAGGCCTCCCAGAATCAGCAGAAGCTGGGCTTTTAAACCCCTGTGAGACGTCTGCGAAAGTACCCATCGCTGTTCACCTCCGGGAGCGCTATCCAAATCTGCAGAGGAATTCTTATTCAAATATACTCTCTTGGCACGTACGGACAGTAAATCCTCCCTAAAGGCAGGCAGGCAGGCACGCTGTGCACACATGCCCACCCCCCGCAAGCACATATATTTCTAATAAACATTCATTCTTTCTCCAAGCACACCTCCCATTAACTTTTCAACACTCCCCCCCCACCTTCCCCTTCCTCCTTGTAGTGGCCTGCTAGTCTCAACTCCCCAGGGAGAAACTGGGAGCCAGGCTCCATATCAAGTTGTCTTTGCTTAACCCAAGGTTTCGGCGGTTGTAATTTATACACCTGCTCTTTGGGCCAAGAAAAGCCGTTAACTCATCTTTATTGCTGAGGGGGAAAACCTAGGATGCAGCTTAAAGTATTTCATCCCTTGCGGGGTCAAGTTTCCTGGGATAATTGGTTTGCGATCAGGTGCAATGTGTGTGTGTGGTGTGTGTGTGTGTGTGTGTGTGTGTGTGTCTCAGAGCAAGGGGTGAGCATGGCAGGTGGTGACCCTGGTAGTGTGCTGTTGGCTGCTGTGCTCCTTCTGTGACATTGAGATGAGACAAATGACTCCCCCACAAGCGCTGTGTGGTTTAATCAGCATGCAGACCACCCCAACAGCCTCTCTCGGTGCTATTTTTATGGAAAAAGAGATGCCGGAACTCACCATGAACGGCTCCTTCTTTGTCTTAGAACGGCAATGGCACCCACCTCTGGGGGTGAAGACAAACTACTGTATTAGTAGCACTGAAGTGACCTCCCCGGGGCGCAAGCCTGGACAGTGTGTATGGAGATCCTGTGCTGCCCAGATGACAAGACTGCCCAGATGACTGATGTGGTCCAAGGGAGAGCAGAGCAATGGATTTGACACTAACATGGCTGCAGGAGTTGCTGGAAGGAGGTGTACAAGCACCGCCCAATCGTCCTAGAGACTCCATTCCTGATTTGTGTAGGGTTTACTCCTTAGCCTTTTCTTCTCCCGAAT